TGAGCTCTGCAAAGGGACACTGCTGGAACACAGGATGAGCTCCCCTAAGTACAGTTAATGCTGGCAGCGTTGTGTGGAAGTCCAGAGTACCATAGAGTAGCTCCTGATTGTAGCTTCTTTTTCTGACACTGCAGTTACTTGCATTCAATATTTGTCTGAAAATAGCAAATGGAAATTCTGAGTAGTGTCACATCTGGGCTGTGAATCATACCATATCCATGCTGTATATGCTACCCGCACGTTAGTCAGTAGCTACTTCAGTTATCAGGGCAACAAAATATAAAGTACTTGTGAACACATAATCCTTATTTTACTTAGAAATGCCCCCAAAGTGATGCTGGCAATTCACACGTGCCAAACAAAAACTGTAAAGGGCTTCCTTCAAGTGAAAGGTGAAAGTTCTAGACTTAATAAGAAAAGGAAGAAAAAAATCAAATGCTGAGGTTAATAAGGTCTCTGGTAAGAATCAATCTTCTGTGTGTAAAATTGTAAAGATAACAGAAATTTGTGCTAGTTTTGTTGTCATATCTCAGATTGCAAAAGTTACAGATAAGACATGGGTTTCGGTGTTCTCATAGTCAGGCACCCACTGGGGGCTTTGTGGATAATGCGGTGTGGCTGTACTTCACTCATGTGTACTCACTCTCCAGGGAATATTTCTCTGAAACAGCTTCCAAATCTGTTGTCACAGGCTGCCAGTCTCCCATCACCTACACACTCCAATCACAACTGAGGAGGAGGAGAAGAGCACAGAAGAAATGCCCTGGGGGCTCTCGGCTCTGTGTTCAGTATAACTGGATATGTTTAAGGTACCCACTGAGCTCTCATAAAAGCATAGTCAGGAAAAAAAGGGCCTGTTGTTAGTCATTCCTTATTATGCTTTTTATCATAAATACACATTCCTGCATTGTAGAGCAGGGTTCCATTTTTGGTACTCTATTCAGGTCACTTAGGTATGAGGCTTGGCAAAAATGCTAGGCAGTGACAAACAAAAATAGTGGGGTCTAGCAATTGCTTATATTTCCTTCTGTTTGGCCATCGCCAGTAGCTTTTAGCAGGTATTATAACTCACTTTTCTCCATCATGGAACATTCTGGCCTGAGGTTCATTTACTCTCGAACTCAATGAATATGAAGAATGACACTTTTCTCCACTCTGCCCCCATATTGCGTGACTCTAAAGCTGTGTTAAGATGATTCCCTCCGACCTGGGGAAAATGAGTTTTCTCTGATTTTACAAGCCTTACTCCAAATTTGCATATTCACAGCAAGCAAAGTGGAGAATATAGACAATTATCTTGGTTTTCTAAAAACAGTCATTTATAATATCAAATATTATACCCGAATTATCTAAATACTCATTCCATGTTCATTCTGTGCCACTTGAGGCACACAATACAAAAGCAGCTCCAAATTGAAGCAGTAAAAAATAATTTGTGATTTTATTATACTTTGTAGAAGGCCAAGAAAAGGTTCATTACAACCCAACTACTTCAGTAATGCTGGTGCAGTCTAGACCCTGTTATTGAAACATTCAGAAAATGCTGATCTTCCTGGGCAAGTAAGAACTTTGCAGATAAAATTTGAAAGCTTCTACAGTAGTTCCTTGGTGTCCATGGAAGATCGACGAAAGTCCCTTATGTAAAATGACATAGTATTTGCATGTAACCTATACACACCCTCCTGTATGCTTTAAATCATTTCTAGCTAAGTCATGATACTTAGTACAATGTGAATGCTATGTAAATAGTTATATGATTTAGGGACTAATAACAACAAAAAAAGTCTGTATATGTTCAGTATTGATGCATTTTTTTCCCCAATTTTTTATTTTTAATTTTGAGTGATATTAGGGCCTGAACTCAGGGCCTCATGCTTGTAGGCAGACACTCTGTTACTTGAGCCACTCCACCAGCCTTTGTGCCTTAGGTATTTATTTTATTATTTATTATTATTTTATCATACAGGGGACTCACTGTGGTAATTCTAAATAGGTTTATATTGTACATTGGTTAGCTTACTCCTACTATCTCTCTCCTTCAACCCCCGCCCTGTCCCCCCCCTCCACATTGTATCTATTTTACAGTCCTGTCCTTTGTTGCCTTCATTTTTTTTTTTTTTAAATATGGTCTCATGCTTTTGCCCTGACTGGCCTGGATGGCCAATCTCCTACTTAGACTTCCTATGCAGCTTAGATGACAGGCATGTGCCACCAGGCCCAGCTTATTGGTCAAGGTAGGGGCTTGCTAACATTTTGTCCTGGCTTGAGCTCAAATTGAGATCCTCCTGATCTCTGCTTCCCGAGAAGCTGGAATTACAGTTCTGAACCACTGTGCCTGGCACCAAATATTTTTGACCAATGGTTGCATCTCCAAATGCAGAATCTATGGACATGGAGGACTAACTATACTTAACCTAGCATGATATGGTTTCAAGAGGAAAACAAGGGAAGTTCTAATTGTCTGTTAGTGTCAGTTCTAAATCCAGAATGGCTTGAGTCATTGAGTCATTGATAAGTGAGCGGGTGCCACATAAGGCCAGTGCTAAGGACACAGAGTGCTCATTTCTACTCAACTCATCAGTCTGACACATGGTCCCAGAATGTGGTTATGTTGAGGTTATCCACATATAAACAACTTGGTGGAAACTGCTGTTTGTGTGGCAGCTCAGGAGCTTAGTGAGTTCTGGGAACAGGAGAAAAATCTCTTCCTTGAACTCACCATTAGTTCCTTCCCAGGAGCATTGCTGAGCTGGCCTTTCCTCACCCATCGCCCACCAGCTCTGTTAGCAACTACCTCAGTCAGTCTACAGTGCTGGCTGCCCCCTCTCCCAGGAACCTGACCTGATCTGTCCCCCATCCCCCATTCCACTTCTGCTTTTCTCTCTTCTCTTCCTACCTACCTAATTCATCTTTTCTGTTCCCCAAACGATCTGGTCTAATCCTTCTCCCAATCTTGCTCTGGATAGACTAGTACCCATGTGGAAAGGATCGGGGAGAGGGGAAGAAGTATAAACCTAAACTTCAGAGGTGAAGTTTGCGAGCTTTGTGGCACACTTGGGGGTGTCTCAACATTGTACACAATGCATTAAGGGTTCTGGAATATTCCTCACATTTGCTGGGACAGGAGAGTGGCTCAGAGTTGCTGTTGGAACCAGTGACTGACACCTCTTGTTGCCGGACAGGGGAGCTCACATTGCATTCACAGCTGGCCACACAGACTTTCATCATGAAGCAATTCTGAAGAACTTGGAGACCAAAGTAGCACTGAATGGTTGTTCTCCACCTGGTGAGTTTCTAAGACCTTTGCTTGTTCATCTGGTCACATCATTCTTTTCTTTCTACTTCTCATGGGCAGCTGTGGCTTCGGTGTGGTTTGTATTCCTGAAACTCATGATGGAGTTTAATCCTCATGGGGAGGCATTAAGAGGGCAAAACTTAATTCAACCATGATGGTTACAGGTGAGGCCTTTGATAGGTTATTAGGATGACATAAGGCCATCAGAATGGAGCCCCCATTACTGAATCTTGGTGGTTCATAAAATCTTTTTTTCTTTTGTGGTTCTGGGGTTTGAACTTGGGGCCTTGTATTTGCTAGGCAAGTGCTCTATCACTTGAGCCAAGTCTCCAGCCTTCCTGGTGGCTTTATAGAAAGAGGGAAAGACTAGAAGATACACACACACACACACACACACAGTGTTCCCTGTTTTTTGCCATGTGATGCCCTGCACCATTTGGGGACATTGCTTGCAGGAAGGTCATCATCAGGTGTAGCCTCAACCTTGCACCAGAACTGTAAGCCAAAATAAACCTCTTTTCTTTATAACTTACTTGGCCTCTGGTATTGTTATTTGCAACAGATAACGGACTGACACCCAGGCTGTACATGAGTCTCAAATCCATCCTAGGCCTTATTCAGTCCTCCTCTTCTTCGCCTGATTTCACCTTTTGCTTAACCCCTGACAAGTCTTGTTCCCATGGCATTCCTAAGTGAGTCAAGGGCAATTTCTTACACATGGAATTCAAGGTCCTGTGGCAATGGAGTCTATGCTTACTTTTGAATTTTATTTCTTACTCCTCCAAATAAATTCATTTCTGCAATGATGCAGAATACTTTTAATTGCTTCCCTTAAGAAAGGTAGTCCAGTCATACATCGCTTATCAGTGGGGATATATACATCCTGAAAAACGTGTTGCCAGGTGATTTGGTCATTGTTTGAACAGCACAGTGTATTAACACAAACTAAGACAGCTACCATGTCACCATGGGGTGGTGCATGACTTAGCCCTGCTCAATCCTTTCCTGCCAATCCACGTGTTACATCTCCCTCTAATCCAGGTTCTTGAATTTCTAGAATGCTCTCTGACTCCCTGTGCACGATTCCAGCTCTGTTCTGTGTTTGCTTGCTGGGTATGCTCTTTTCTACCTATCCTACCTCTTGGTAGTATACTCTTTTGGCTGTTGCTACTTTTAGTATTTTGGTCTTTTTTTCACAAGGAAATTTAAAACTCCTCAAAAAGACAGATCGTCTCATCTTGCTGTTTCTAGCACAGTACATGGTACAGAACTGGGTATCTTGAGGCAATTCATCTTCACTGATGATTAGTGAGAGATCTAGATAAGCTTCTCCCTAAGGCTTGGTGGCATGGCTTATCAAAGTCCTCCAGACTCTGCACACTCCTCAGGGGCACCAGCCTTCATGATCATGGCCTTTGGCTCCTGCATCAGGTAAGCTGCTTTACTCTGCAGAATACGGACCAAGAAACCAAGCAAAAATCTTTGGCAAATAGCATTTGAGTCTGGTAGAGGAAACAGTATTTCTGTCTGTTTCCACTCAGCAATGGAAATGCGTTCAAATCATACAGTTGGCTTTCTGGGTCCTGCAGCTGCCCACACACAGGGGGTCTGCGTGCCCAGTTAGCCAGGTGGGTCCTGCTTTGGCTTTCCTTTTCTTTCTCATTCTCCTGCTTTCAAAAGTAACCTCTGGCTCTGCCCTCCCCAAACCCCTAAAAAAAAAGCACCACCGTTTCTCTCTCTTTCCCTTTCTCTGAAAAACACATACCTATTTTCTTGTGTCAGGGACCTGTGGACACCATGGTTTTTGGAACTTCTCCTGCAGTAGTGTTCCTAATACTCAGCTATCAGCAACACTCATGTCCCTGGGACATGACTCAGCAGCATGGCCACTCTCTCCTGACCCCTGCAAGGTGCTACTCTGTCACCTTCTAATGTCATCTATTCTACATTGCTCTTGCTGCAACCGTATCTTCTCTCCACTAGTTCTTGAATTAATTCTTCCCTTGTGTTCACTAGAATCAGTACAAACTCCCTCTGTGGGAACACTATCAAAGCCTTTAGACCAATTGTATTTTAATCATCTTCCCATGACATCCCACTTCACATTTTTCTAAGACTATAGCTCATAATTCTCAAATTTCTCTTATTTCTCTGTTCTTACTGTTATTTTGAGTATCTCAACAACTTCACTATCAGGCAAGGGTTTGCATTAAATTTTTCTGGCACAAGTGGCTGATAGGACATGGCCAGATTACTCTGCAACGTATTACTTCTCAAACAACTCCCATCCTTTCCTCCCAAACAAATGAAAACTAGCTCAGCACAGCCAGTGATTCTCATTTTTGGGATAACTTCTAGTTTTCAAAAAAGAGCTTAATAGTTACCAGTTTCTTTAAAAAAAAAAAAGAATTGAACTTGGCCCACACACATGTTAGCTGTTTTGGGGACTATTTGTTCCTTGAAGATAACTATACAGTTAAAAGAGCAGTCTATATCTGGTGTGCCCCCTAGGGACAGAGGTCAGCTGTCCGTATGGACCCCGTGTATACTGACAAAACCAGACATTTCACTGGATGCTGACTCACAGCAAGCTTGAGGGAACAAGCTTCTATGTGTATTTTATTGTTTTCCTCCTTATTGAGAACTTGGATTTTCTTTATCAGATCCTTGTGCATGCTAGGCAAATGCTCTACAAGAAGCTACATCTCCAGCCTGTGGGCAGTCTTGCTTAACTGTAGGAACCCATTTTACACTGTCTCTGTTATTCACATGGACTGATTCATTCCATTCATTCTCCACTGTCAGCAGCTTTTGCATCCTGACTGCACTATTTTTTTTCCCTCCTTCTTTGCTTTTCAACATTCACAGGTGAGGTGGCCTAAGGCCCCATCCAATTGCTAATAAAAGATTAAAGAGGGACCCCAAAGGCCTCACCCAATCCCACATTTCTCTAGGAGTCAGGAACATTTGGAAAGCAGTGATCACAGTGGCCAAAAGGTCAACAGGGGCAGCATGTGCTGTAGGCACTTCCTTTAATTAACACAGAGCACCAGTTTTGTAAAATATGAAAGTGCAGGAAACTTAACCCATCAAACATCAGACTTTTGCGCTATGTGCGTAGTCAGAAGGGTTATAGACCCCAAAATAGGGTGCTTCCCCAGGCCTTTCCTGCCTTTGTTTTGCGAGGTGCCATCATGGGGCAGGTAGAGAGCACAGGCTGAGTCACCATGCAACTGTCCTGAGACTTCTCACATCCTCTATGTAAGAAAAGAGGTCAGTGGAAACAGGGCCTTGGTGAGGAGCTACACCTATCGAGAAAGCCGTGCCTGACTGTGGGACAGGTGGGTTCCAGATATGCATGACAGAAACACACTTTGCCTGGGTTTTGAGACACTTGTTTCTTGGGGCAATGGAGGATCTTGAACAAATACTCAGGAATGGTCTGATCCTCAATCCCTTTGGGATGATACTCTATGGTTTAATTTCGAAACTAATATATTCATCATTAAAAAAAATCTGTGGTGCTGGGGATGGAACCAGGGCTTCGTGCCGTGCTGGGCAAGTGCTCTGCCACCAAGCTACGCGTGAACAGGTCTTCTAGCAGTCCTTACATATACTCAGACTATACATACGTTGGCATTAGTAATTGATGGGTTCTTTAAGATTTTTAAAAACTCAGCAGTTAGCTTAATTCCTTAGACAGTTATACTCCAGAACTGTTAAGATTTATAATAACATAAAAATACCTTCATCCTTAGTCTTTATCCACTCTTTAAAAGAGCCTTTCATCCAGCAAAGTGGGTCAGTGACTCAGCTATCCACATCCATGTGTCACACACAAAAGGGAGATGACTCAGGAGAGGCTGACGCCAAACAACTTGGATCTTTCAACTTAAAAAATTATAAAGAAAACTTGGACTTAAAGAAAAGTACACAACAGGGAATCATTTAGCACATTAGAACCAAATTCAAGAAAATTCACTGTTCTCTTTCTCGCTTTAGAGGTTTTCTAAACATCTTACAGCCTGGAAAAACCCATCATTTGCTGAACTTGCACTTGACTTTCCCCTTATTCAGGGGAGGAAACTGCCCACACAGTGGAGCAAAATGTAGAATACCTCAGTAGCCACTTTTGTCACTTAAGTTTCTTTTTGTTTTTCCATCAAATCAAGTGGAACAGAGCAGCACTTGTGTGTTTGTCACCAATCCTTTATTGAAACTGGTAACTTACACAGTTTATAGTAGAACAACAAAAATAATGTTCGATATGTACAGCCTTTGTATGGACTATCTGACTATACACAAGGCAGAGTGAGGACACCATCTAATCTTCATCATCATCTGTGCACACAGACACCAAACAGACGACATGTGCACATTACAGTGAAATGACATCACAGGGCCAGTGAAAATTCAGCATAATACAACAGGTACTGATCTATTGCGCATGGCATCTCCCTCAATGCCCAGCTCTTACTCAGTAGTAACTTAGGCAGAGTCTGAAGCAGAGATTGGCTGTGTCGCTATAAGTCTCTTAAGCGAGACGACCTCTGCAGATAAGTTTGCTATCCCCTGCTTCAAGTACAGATTCTCTGCGTCGGAGACTTTGTAGCCATTGTCCTTCCTTTCCACAACTCCAGTTTTGAAGCTATTCTGACTTTTGCCGTTCAGTTCTTTTGGATGCCAGTGTTCCGATTTGAGAGACCAATCTTGAATGTTCGTCACCTGCACTGAGAAAGGGGTGAGGGAGGAGTGCACCCCACTCGGGGCACTGTGCTTTTCCAGTTCCAAATGTCTTTTAGACGTCATGTCCACGGGCGAGGGGAGTTTTTGCGTGGCCTCAAACTCACTATCAAAGGCTTCCACTTTGATCTGCATGGCTTTGGCTTTGATCCGAAGCTTGTGTGGCAAGGCGGAAGAATTCACTTCGGGCACCTTCACCACGGCGGCGTGCGTGTGTTTCAGTTCCACTGGAGAATGGATGGGCCCCTTGGGAACCTGCTGCTCATCCTCCCCATCCGAGGCCTTGCCCACCACGCCCTCATCGGTCTCGGAGGTCCTCGGGGAGTTGCTGGAGGACCTGCTGGCCTGCAAGAGGGGTGGGGAGTGCGCGAAGGTGGAGAAGGAGGTCCCCACGTAGCTCTGGTAGTTCTGGTAGATGGAGGTGGGGTAGGCACCCCGCTCGTCCACCGGCTCCTGCTTGATGGCCTGGAACTTGGCATCGGGGCTGCCCCGCGCCAGTTCCGCCGAGGCCTCGGAGGCACCGGAGGGTGAGCTCTGCGGAGAGGGCGGGTGCTTGATGACCGAGATGCAGCCGGCCGCACTGGCCAGCGCGGGCTCGGGCTCGTCCAGCGCGCCGCCCCGGGACGTCTGGTACTCCTGGAAGTACACCGCCGCCGAGTGGCTGAGCTTCTGCACCTCCTGCGCGTAGGCTGCCGAGCTGATGAGCCCGAACTTCAACTTGAGCGACAGCAGCTCGGCCTTCAGGGTGGCGTTTTCTTCTCCCAGGGCGATCAGCTTGTTCTCCAGAACCAGGTCATTCAGCCGGCGCTTCTCCCGGGATCTTTTGGCAGCCTCGTTGTTCTTGCGCCTTTTTTCCCAATACATAGCATCTTTCTTCTCATCGGGAATGAATTCCCGCTTCCTGCGACAAGCCGAAGACTTGCTTTTGCCCACGCCGCCCTCGTTCAAAAGGAGCTCTTCGCCTGCAGTCAGGTCCTCCGACACTTCTGTTAAGGCCGAGTGGAGGACCAGCACCTTGTCCACATTGCTCGAAGTATCAAGGGATGTCTGCTCCTTTTTAATGTTCTGCATTTTCCTCAGCTGCATCAGAAGTCACTTTACCCTAGAGATGCGGTGGAGGAGAACCAGTTATTTTCCCAGTATTCTCAAACGCTGTCGAAATGGTGGCTTAAAATCCATCCATGTTCTTCAGGCAGGCTTTTTTTTTTTTTTTTTTTTTCTTTTTAAATTGCATACAGTAGGGTCTTCGTGGTTCTCTGCAAAACAGGAAAAGACAGAGTTATTCATTTGGACAAATGTTTGTTGCTAAGCTCACGGAGAACCTTGCTAATTATGGGGATATATTACAAGCAAGGTTGTTTCCTTCAGAGAGTTGGCAATCTTGAATGGGAGTAAGTACCCTAACACCTCCACTGTAAAGCAATAAAGGACCTATCTGCAGGGGATTATTTGGTTCAGGAAAGAGAACAAGAATAAATAAAAGCACCTCTGCCCTGGGAGAAATAGAGGCAGTCTGTGTTTGATGGGGAGAAAAGGTCAGTGCAGCATGTCGGGTGGGCCATTACAGGAAGGAAATGACAGATCACCTTTGGTGGGCAAGTTTCTAAGTGTTTGTGAATAATTTGAGGTAACATTTACATCACTGCCAAGCAAATGGGCTCATCTCTTCAAAGGAACTTGACTCTGTAAACTCCTTTACCATCCGTAAACAACCATGATTACATATGGAATAAGACATAAATGGAGCTACATTTTTATTCCCACAAATCTAAGATAAAAGCCGTATCAATGACGGAGTTGCTGCTAGTTTTGATCTGCACCTTCATGTGGACATCAGTCACATCCTGACTGCCTGGAAGGCTGCCTCCTGGGCTTCTATCCGGCATATTTCATGAGATGACTACCCAGACCTGAGTGAAAAAGATTCCTCTCCATATGAAGCACTTGATGCAGGAGCACCTGTGGCTGTGACATCAGAAACCTTCGAACGGATTTACCAGACATTTAAGACTGAAACATCCAAAATTCTTTTTTGGGGGTTCTGAAAATTCTATGGTAATAAATGTCAGTTGTACAGTAGCTTTGGACTAAATCAGTGACTATTCAAAGGACTTTTCTTCTCCCCCCCCAAAAGTACAATACCCTCTTGAAACTTAACATCACTTTAAACCAAGAAGACATAATTATAGAAAGGAATTCTCTCAACTTTACTAGTTAGTTTGAAATAAAATATAAGAACTCAAAAATAGAATCATCAAATAGTTTCCTCTCCCATGGGTGAAATATTTATAATATGAATTTGGCCGGACACTGCTTTTTCATTCTTTCTTTCTTTCACAGCACTGGAGATGGAATCCAGGGCCTCATGAATGTTGGGCAAGTGCTCTGCCACTGAGTGCCATCCCCAGGTACCTCAAATTTGCTTTAATGTGAGAGAATACATCCATATTTTTGTGTATGATTCTTTTCATAGTGACCTCGGGTCTGTGTTTCTAGACTGATTCTCTGCCTGATTTTCTAGCTGGTAATGCTTTTTGCAAAGTAGATGTGCACAACTGTTTGCTCAGCACTACCCACCACATTAAAAAGACTGAATGTTTTTGCTTTCTCTCACTTTTTCTTTCTTATGCAGTTATATGACTAATGAAGTTTAATTTTATCCATCAGAAGAGTCTGCCAGTTTCTTTTGTTTTTTCCAGTAGGAACAGAATGCATGATGTAATAATTTCAGGAACATAAAGACTAAGGTTTCGTGCCATGTTTCTGTTCATAAAACTGAGCCAACACAGTCCAGGGAACAGCTACCCACAGCTCAGAGAAACCTGTAATTACTAAGAGCAAGTTTCTGTTTGCTTTTTGATAATGACACTTTAACGGGAAACAAGGCAAGGAGTGTCACAGCAGGCAATGGTGCTGCAGACATGGGGTCTTTCTATTGATAATGTAGTAAACGTAGGATTTCCTGTCATCTCCATTTGCGTTTTGTCTTTAAACACGAAAACCCCTCTCTCACGGAGCCCCTCTTCCTGCCACACTGTATAATCTGTCATTCAGCAGTCAGGTCTTCACCCTGAAAGTAAAATGACAGGCAAAGCAGAATAAGCAAATCTAGCTGAGGAAACCTGATGACCTTGATCTTTTCCAAGATGTCTTTACATCTTAGAATTCTTGCACCACATTATTCTGGGTATTTTTTCATGTGAAGCATTCCTGTTTTATGTATTTCCTTATCTATACCTGTCCTTAAAAAAAATCCTACCTCATTTACATACCCGGCCATTCTTAGCTGCTGTTCCTAAACTTTTCATGCTCTCTCTGCATCCAGTGAGCTGGGATCCTGGCAGCAAAGTGCATGCACTACACAGTTAATGTACCTGGTGCAGACTGGGGGCATGCTGCGTGGTAGGGAACTGATTGTGCTTCCACTTAACTAAAATAGGTCCAATTGTCTTAAAATTTCCTTAGCCCCTTTCTCCTGGGGTCTGTGTACTACCTGTCTGAGTTAGCATCTCTATAAGTTTATTAGTACACTAAAACCCACAGAAAGCCTCATTTCTTTGTAATCATCTTCTTCCTACTTGAATCTCGCCACTTGTCACTGTGAGTCTGTACATCCTATTGTCTATAAACTCAATCAGCAAATCACCACGAACTATCTTAGAGTATTTTCCGTAATATTATTTATCAAATAATCTTGCAGTGGTAGAGTTTATCAGCATTGTGAGATAATGGAGAGGCAGTGATTTCGTACACTGGGTATCTTTCTATGAGTTGGTCTTTCTTGTCCAACTAGAACAAAAGGCCTGAAGGGCGGAAATTAAAATGTATTTGCATTCTTCTAGCAACACTCTGGAGATAGGAGGTGCTCCCTTTGGATGGATGGTCTTCCATTTACCTTACAGAAGTGTTTTATAACAGACATACACAAAACCTTTGGAATGTTTTCTTTTTAATACTATCGAGTGAATTCTAAAGGTGTTATTCTACTTAACAGAGTTTTTCTTATTCATTACTTGGTTTGTTCAACACATATAGAGCACCTATTGTGTCCTGGGCACTGAGCTAGACTGAGGGGCATATGAAAAGGAAGGGGAAAATCAAACCCCAATGAGTAGGACTTCAGAGTCACAGGTAAAAGCCAGAACTGAGGTGAAGGCATGGAGCTCCACCAAGCTCAGGGCATGCACCTTGTCCACTCCAGCAATTCTGCCTTTTTCCAGAACAGTGATTCTAACAAAAACAATCATAACAGCTGCTACTTACTGAATGTGTACCATGCAACAGACACTTGGGGCCTGGCCTGCTGTGTTCCCCTAACCTTTGCAATAATTGTTTTCTGAGGAGAAAACGAAGGCAAGCGACTTGCCTGGTGTCACACAGCTGGCTACAAGGCAAAAGTGAGATCCCAGCCCAGCCAATAAAGGGACCACCCAGGACAGTTTCCTACCTTTCTCAGAGTTGCTTCACATCCTAGCAGTGCTTAATTTTACTAATTCTCACTTCTCTGCTAGAATTTAATCTCCTGAATCTTGTCTGTTAAAACAGAGGAAAAGAAATAATAGCTGTGGATATTGACACCTGTGGCTTTTTTCTGTTTTTTGAGAGAGAGGGTCCTCCTGCCTCAGCCCTCCTGAGTGCTGGCATCACAGGCATGCACCACCAGAACCAACAACCATGACTGGCCCTCTTGTAAAAACAAAACCAAAAGTATGTCCTTTTTCCACATGAGAGCTGGTGGCTCTCTGGACCTCGAATTTTGTAAATGGAACCAGCTAAACTACAGAGAGGTTGAGTGCCTAGCGAGAGATCACACAGCAGTTAAAAGCAAGAAAGGGCTCTGGACTTTATTTATATCCCTTAATAATAAACTAAAGGCAAGTGCAAAGGAAGTGTCCAGTGCCTTCCGGAAACACCAGTATTTATGCTAACCTAATGACTTTATTTCAGGCCTCAATATTTTCCTTTATGATTAATGTAATAATTACTTCATCTGTGCGTCATCTTTTCAAATCAACATTTAATGCTGTGGCTTATTAGTCACTGCTTATGTTTCTTTTTTGATGAATAACTGACACTAAATGCCAATTCTATGATGTTAGCATATGTAGCACGATTAACTTCATCACACCCATTAGATGAGAGACTGTTTCTTAAAAACACAAACAAAAAAAGAGAAATTCAAGAGCAGGCATCATGACATGCCAGCTGACAGATTTTTTTCATGATCCGAAGACGCCATCACTACCTAATGTTTTTTTATATTACGTCACACTGTTACTACAAGGAGTTGTGTTTCGTAAACCCAGTTTATTTAAGTCGGATGACCTAAATGTCGTTTATAATTAAAGTAAGACTTGCTGTAGAAAATTCTGAAAAGAGCACAAGTCTACAACTTAAATTCAAGGTCAAATTTGCCCTTGAGGACTCACATAATATTCGTAATAGCAGAACTGTATCTTCGCTCATCGCTACCTGATCTCCCACTCACACAGCATTTGATAATTCAAACTCTTCACAAAACAGAAAAGAACGAACATTGAGTCAAGCATCTAAAATTGCACTTGTAGGTTAGATTTCAAAAGCCACTGTAAGAATATTTCATTAATCACCTCTTTAAAGGGTAAGTTTTGGGACAAATTGCTTCTATTATCTATTTGATTTTAAAATTCTATCAATACAAGATAAAATACAATTTGATGTACCTAGAGGTTTAGAAAGCTTCTTATATAAGTATCTCATTTTCCTTCCAGTCTCTGAGAGTACTATTTAGTCTTCTCAGATGCTAATAAATACAATATTAAGAGAAAAAACTCTTTTCAAGGTAAGCCTAAGTTATTAAGTATAAACCATCTCTCCACTAAGCGGGCAGGTGCTAATTTTTCAGACAAGTGAAATTTTTATTAAAGAATTTTTTAAAAATCCATCAATTCACAGATCATTATAGTTTTAAAGTAATGATACTGGCAAAATGTTTACACTTTCCTAGTGTCAGTGAAATTCTGTACCTGTGTTCAATGAAATGTGCCACTTCTTTTTATGGATAAGGGGGGAAAAAAATCTAGTGTTTAAAATAAGCATGATAAAATAACTACAGAATTCACATTTCTAATTAGAGGATGATAAGGGATGAAAAACTCAAGAGACACTGACATTGCTAGGGGCTTTTCTAAGAAAACTGTCAAACCTCCAAGTGGAGGCTTCATAATATAGCTCTGTATGGCAAGCAGAAGTTAGGGAGAGACTGGTCCTTGGTGGACCCGGGAAACACACACACATAAACAGTATTACACTTTGCCACAATCTGGCCTATCACAGCAGCAAACTGACTCACTTTTTCTATTTGAAAATTAGACTACTTGAAAATTAGATTTAAACTTAGTAAATATGACAATGCTGCATTTATTACACACCACTGATGCAATTTAGTAATTGAAATGTGAAATAGTGTAACTTGAGATTCTCGGTAAGAGGCCAGTACGTGTAACTTAATGCACAATGAAATTATTCTGAAGATTGCACAAAAGTACTTACTCACTAACACATCCAAACAATGAACCTCATGGCTGAAGAAAGACAGGGCTCACTACAGACGGAGTGGGGGCGAGGAGAGGAATGGAACAGTACAGCATTTAAAAAAATCTTTAGTAACACATTTTTAAAAAATTCCTATGCAAATTCCAAAATGGGGACCATTACTATTCTTGAAACTTTTGAAGATAATTGCAGTCTAGTAACTCCTCTGAAATCTTAAGGGAAACGACAGTCACAAGGTTGAAGGAAATGCTGCAAGGACAAATACTGCTTGCAACATGGTGCAATGACGGCAAAAAATGGTGTGTGCTGGGGTGGGGCATGGGAGGGAAAGTTCTTGAGTGCTCCCGATTCTTCTCAGCTTGGCTTTTTGATTTCATGTTCACTTTCCAATCAGCAGATGACTGCAAATACCATGTATTTTACTATGTCCTTTATGCGAGGGGATTTTTTTTTTTAGTTTATTTTGGGGGATTATTTGAAGTCTACTTAATTACAGTCTAAGATCTTTAGAAAGTTAATAAAAGGCACCTCGTTCTGATAACTAAAAGAGGCTTATAAACATCACTGATTCCAGTGAAACTGGGTCCTCAAAGCACAGTTATTAACAAATGGCATCGAGTAAATCCCTACTAAACTTAAAAACAAGCTTATGCTCTCTAATTAAAGCCATATGAGAAACTTTTTTTTTTTTAACTACAGGAAAGTTATTTGCAAAGAAATGTGAGAGGTAATTGGGGGTGGTGGTAATAAGAATTCATTTTGAAACTGAAAAGCTCTTATGTAATGTCTGTGATCAAAGGTCAATGTCTTTCAACATTCTCATACAACGAGTCCGATCTGGATAAAAATCAACTCAAATATAATTTAGAAAAATAACAGGATACCAAACAATGTGTTAACCCCGTGAAATTATAGGCATACCTGACAAAAACAAGAAATGAATATTATAGGAAAATTCAATTACATTGTTTGTTATATTTGAATTGAATCCCAAGTGTGCTCTCATTCCTCAATACGAATTAAAAATAAACAACTTTTAACAGCATCAATGCCATCTGGATTACAATGGAAATAATGAGGTATGTGTGGTTTTTAACTCGGGTAAAAATAAAGCCGAGGCACTATGACCGCGCTTTTCCATCCCATGCTGCAATCACATCTACATCTCGGAATTGACTCTAACCACCACAGCAAGGTCAACTAGACAAATCCACTCAGCATGAGTCAGGCTCATTGCTCAATGGTGTGAAAGGCTCTCACAAAGGGTTTTAATTTTCAGGTTGTTGCATCATAGTGATGTTATAATTGCACTTCACCAAGATAAGCCCTTAGCACAGAAGAGGAAACTGTTTCAAAAACTAGAGTGAGTGAATTCAAGGAACAAAACAGAAAGGGTTGGGGGGGTGACAAGCAAGCCTCCCCATCTTTCCAAACTCTGGTCTGGGCTGTAGCTTGTTTCCTCATCTCTAAAGAGGGGATGGTGACCAAGCCCTCCACCTGTGCCTGGCACCCGCAGAGTGTTTAGTAAACTATTTGCTCTTCATCTCACTTCTGCAGAATGACCACTAGCATGGTCATCAGGAGGCAATGATGTCTACTAGTTTCTGCCACTGGCCATTCTTCCTACAGCACTGCCCTTTGTGGCAAGTATTAGGGTCAACCAGGTGCAGTTCTCTTAGGTCAAAATCAAGAGTCAAATAACAAGGGTCTAACAGGGCTTGGCCACGTGCATCACCAGCAAGACTGTTCTGGGTTGGGGGTGGGGAAGTCCTCACCAGACACTGATGATTTCAGAGCAGAGTTTTAGAAGCAAAGATGGCGCAGGCCTTAGAAAACAAGTCACAGAAAGTTCCAGGGAACTGGAAAAAGCCGAGCTGCTCCTGCTATCACTAACTCATCTCTCTGCTCTTTCAAACAGTTCCCCCAAAACACTAACCCACTAATTTTGGGATGTCTGAGGTTTCCTGATCCTGCCAAGAATTCTCTTGGTATTGAAATTAACACAGAATACAGTTTTTTGGGGGGTGGGAGAAAGTATCTCAAGGAAGATCTTTAACAGGCTCAAAGCTAACACCAATCCTTACTCCTACTGAACAGGGATTTGGACAGAAGAAAATGAAGGTGAGCGTGTACATATGAATTCTGGGTCCTGGTCAGTTAGCAGATAGCATTTACGGAATTCCTAGCAACTGCCCCGCACCGCACGTTCTCTACCCTCAGTTTACCCTGGAGGACCATGGGAGGCAGGGCGGCTGCTGCGGAGAGGCCAGGCTGCCTGCGTTCTTTGGACCTCTGGGCGTGGGTTCTAACTGAAAGCGGAGTGTAACAAGAGGGAAACTGGTTAGGGACACGGGTGACGAATAAGATCCCCTGGAAGCCAAGTTCTTGGTGTTTTCAACGAAGAGCAGCCTGCGTTGATAGGGCTCTTGGAGAACATATGCGGTATCTCCAGGAATATACTGAGTTACTGCAGGGTCCCAACCTTGTAAGTCTCCAAGCTAGGATGAAAGTACTACGCGGTACTTTTACCGCGGGGAGGCAGCGTCCGTGTGGGCGCTTTGATTGCTTTATTTTGAACTTGGGAGAGCCGAGCTCTCTTTAGCCTTTGCCCACATAAACTCAAGATACAAACTAAAAATGATAAAAACCTGGGCTCTACTGGCCACAGTGAAGCTGGGGGCGGGGGGGGGGAGGAGCCTTTCCTTTCCATCCCTATCCACACTGGAGCGTCCCACCCCACTTTCTATGGTGTGGGGACATTTGGAGGTTTTCCTTTTCAGTTCAAGAATGGAGAAGCGCTCGGCACTGAGATGGTCAGGACTGCGGGAACAAAGGTGTCGTGGCTTCGGAACC